TGTTATAGTGAGCACTTTTCCTTTGCAAGAGAGGTTATTGGATAGCGGACACCACAACGGCCATCGATATCACAACATACTGACTCTAACTAACCTCAGATCGATTCTTGTCACAGATAGTTCGTTGTTGAGCAATTAACAAGGGACTCTGAACTCCCTTTTTTGCTCCATATGGCTGGCCTTTGGTGGTCCCATCAGTAGGGGTATAGGATTAGGGTTGGGTTAGGCGTATGGTGATGAATCGGCTGGTTCCATGGCAGTGGTGGAAGGTTATGTCTTGGGAGGCGTATGTTCACCGATGATTCGAATTAGTCGAATCACAACATTATTCTCACTTCAGGTTTACACCAGATACTAACTAGGTTTTCAGGATCCCCCCAGACCCCCCCAATAAAGCAAAACTGCACGTTTCAGAAGTGGGAATAATGGGAGACAAAAACAAAAGTGTTGCATTTATATATTTTGTTCATTGTATACTTATTATTACATGTGTATAGATATGAGCTGAGTAACATTATGAATTGTGTAATTTATATACCGTACGAATGCCGGCCAGATACTCGTTATGACCGGTGATCTGAGTTACAATGTTGGAGAAACTTCAGTCCAAATGCCCCTATCACCTACTTCTTCCCCTTTCACCTGTGTATCTCCTAATAAAAGGTGGTTTCCTCTCGCACCAAAATAATATCTTTAACAAAGGTACAGTGTAGTAAGAGTAATATATATGTGTATTTCTATACAGTGTAGAATATCATAACAGCCAAAGTACAGTCTAGTAAACTGAGTATATACAGTGAAGTATAGGATAAAGTATATTATAAATACAGTGTAAGTATGATAGCATGAGATCAAGGTACATTTATATTGCATTGTAGTCAGGGTTTGGTTGTTAACTGGAATCATTGTAACGGCGGTTACGTAATCAGGAATACACAAATCAAGTAACTGTAATTCAGCCTCGTGTTACATTTGAAAAACGAGTAATCTGATTACAGTTACTTCCGTAAAAACCTGAAGTGAATACATTTTGGATACTAATTGGATTATTGGTGGAAAGATTTCCTAACAACATCTTAAAAATTCAATACTGAAGGAAACAGCCGAATATCACAGCGCACAAAACCTATTACCGCCGCAGAGGACCGAAAAAGGGAGCATTTGAAAAAAAAGGGGCGGGTCCGCTCAGTTGAAATGCTAACAACGAAATATGGAGGAACAGAAGTCTGCGTTTAAATCGTGTTGTGTGTGTGTAGAGGTGTGTGTTGGTTAAAACACATCAACACAGGGTAACACAGTGAAGGCGGTGCGTGAAAAGGCACTGCCGCGCTCCTCTTCTCAGAGGCTAAGTTAACCCTCCCGCTGCCTCCTGGTGCTGCAGAGATTTTCAATAAAGTGAAGGAGGTTTTTCCTTCTATAAAACAGCTGTGGCAGCAGATACTGTGAGTGTCAAAGCATGAATACATTAGAATCAAGGCAGACTGGTTGGCCACACAACTCTCCTGTTTTGGCCGATCAGCGGTGCTTGGAACAAATATAGCCTCTACACCCTGGCCGAAATGTCATTAAAATGAAGTCAGATTTCGAACATTTTAATTCATGTCTTGCCAACACTGCAGGACAGAAGGCGACACAGCCCGTTCTAAGCCATGTCTCTTCACTCCTCACATCCCAAGCTGCATCCCCAAAAAGTGTATTATGTATGTTTTACATCGTTTCAGATGTTGTGTGTTTCAGTTGTGCTTAAAACAGTAAAAATACGTTCAGTTTCCTTTTGCTTTTTGTGCCTCCTGTACACCAAAACATACCATCTGTGATGGAAAAAGAAAGTAATCCAAAAGTAATCTATAAATAATCTGATTACGTAACTGTAACTGTATTCGGATTACTTTCAGAGCCATGTATTCAGTAATCAGTAACTGATTACATTTACACAGTAACCCTCCCAACCCTGTAGTACAGTGTAATATAGTATATTATAGAACATTGTTGTAAAGTACAATATTGTTTATTTTACTGCACTGTAGAATACCATAACTGTAAAGTGCAGTGTAGTAAACTGAGTATATTCAGTAAAGTATATGATAGAGTATATTATAATACAGTCTAGTGTAGCATGATACTGTACATTATAGTAGTGTAATGTAGTTTATTATAGAACAATAGAGTATAGAATTATATACAATGTTACCCATAAAGTTGGGAAAAAATGTTTTACCTCTTGAAATAATTGTGACAATGTGATTTATTCTTGATAGACAAAGTGTTTATCTTCTCCAAACTTTATTGATCAATCTTTTCCAAACATATCACAGTGAACATGAAATAGGAATTAAAAGAGGAGGTTGTTTGAAAACCAAATTATTCCAAGTTTACGGACAACATCATAGTATATTATAGCACTGTGTAGTATAGTATAGTATAGTATAGTTTATAGGTTAGGATTCACTATAGTCCTGTGCTAACCATGTTCCTGCCTCTGTGTGTTCTGTCAGGTGAAGAGGGATGCCGGGGGGACCACCAAGTACATGGAGCTGTACATCGTGGCCGACAACACTCTGGTAAGTTGACAGGAGCCCTCCACTCTTCTATTCCACAGCCTCACTTTGGTCCATCAGTGTGAGACCTCCACTGACGTCACACAGCCATCAAACAGCAGCAGCATGGAAACAGGTCCACGTCGTTAACAAAGATCCTATTCCAGCTAATAGAGCTTATTCATGCTGAAAGCTCTAAAGCGATGATAGGCACAGCGAGGCGGAAGCATGTGGAAATTAGGCAGAAGGATTTGTCTGCTTAATGCCATGTATTCAGTTGGAATCTAAAGGTGGAAGGGCTTTTAAATAGACACTGAGCTGCAGTGTGAGGAGATGCAATATCTTCATAAAATCCAGTTAGGGTTTGTCTTCTACATTAATGCCATGGTAACCACACATGGCGACCAAAAGGAGTCTGGTCCATTGTGTAAGTGGTGTAATTATAATGATGGAGCAGGGTTTAAGTGGTGAAGCGGGAATGGTGGGGTTAGAGTTATGTTTTCATGGATCATTATTCTCTGCAGGGAGCTTTACAAAGAATGATCTTCAAGATTTTATTTATTTTTCTGACTGCTGACCTCATTCCTGCCTCTAATACTCCCCCATTCTCTCTGTCCTGCAGTTTAAGCGGCAGAATAAGGACTACGAAAAAACCAAGGCCAGGATAATGGAAATTGCCAATTACGTGGATAAGGTAAGGCTGATGGGCTCAGTCTGCAATTCAAGAGAACAAACAGCCCCATTCAACAACTGATAGACACTGTCGCACTGTCCCCACACATCTTCATATCATCTATTACCAACCATATCTGAAGATTGTTGACGTTCCAAATCAATAATTAGGGATTGAACAGTGTACACAAAATCTTCTGTTCTATGAAAGCCTGTGAAAATTGAATCAATATTGTCCTTCAACAGCCCTTAAAGGGAGATCGGAGAAAATTGCCTTGTGTGACCAGACTGTGTTATTGGAGCTCACGACAAGATTGTGTAGGCAGGTACATAGCTGTTGTTGTTTTGTGGTGTGTTTAGTTCTACAGGGCTCTGAACATCCGGGTGCCTCTGATTGGTCTGGAGGTGTGGACAGACAGAGACCAGTGCATCGTCAACGAGGATCCCAACGCCACACTCTGGTCCTTCCTCCAGTGGAGACAGAAGCTGAAGTCCCGCAAGAAACACGACAACGCCCAGCTGCTGACGTGAGCAATATATACACACACACACACGTAAAGCTAAGCTATAGCCGTCATGTCATCACATCAGCCACACAGCAGCTGTGAGTCCTCGTCACATCTGTTCAGCTGCGTTCCTGCTGAAGCATTCCTGCAGCGCTCCTGGCCCAAAACACAATTAATGTGGTCATACAAGTTCTGTTAGTTGAGGAAAATAGATTTGAAGCCTAAGATTGCTTCTGTAGCTTCAAAGAATAATATACTGTATATCAGTGCTTTTTGGCTGTGTACCTACAAGTTTGCTATATCAACCCAAAAGTGTGGTCGGAACTTGGCCATTAAAACTGTTTTAGGTCATAAAAAAACCTGTTCTGTTCTTATTTTCTTATAACATTTGAAAAGCTAAGTCGAATTTTTTTTTTAAACTGACTTACATACAGTATAAGAATTGCAAGTTGTGAGTGTGATGTCACCAAATGGTTTGTGCACTATTGCCTAGTGTTTTGCCATTTCCATATAGGTTCTTTTTCTATCAGTGTCACAAGAGGGGGTAACTAAGTACAGTTGAACCCTGACCAAGAAATGTTAGGCAAACAAGATGTAACAATTAATTTTCATGAAAAGAAAACACACCAGCAATAGAATTAATTTCAAAGAATAAAAGACTGATGAGACCCAAACCCCACAACGCCACGGTAACGCCCAAACTCTCATTGTCTAATTTACTGTAAATACATTATTCTTGGAGACTTGGAACTAGCTATTGAGACCATAAACCTTTGGGAACATATTACTTTGGAAGCAAGCTGTGTGCTCCTTTTGTCATAGACTCTATAGAACTGCACTTTAGACCATTAGAATGAATACAAGTTTAAAAGGGACATATCATGAATAACTTTGTTGTGCTTATGCATATACATTTAGGTTTCTGGAGTGCCTACTAATCCCCAAATGAAAATATGAATTTGAATACTAAAAACCCAGTAAATATTTTTGTGGGCTGCCCATTTCCCTCCGTATTAAAAAACAGTTTTAACCTGTTAAGCCCGGCAGCATTTAACAAACTATAAATTGTGTCATAACCACTTAACGGGAAGAAACTCGGCTAACAGACAATATAACAATTTTGACCGAAACAAAACACAAGTCTAACACAGAGCCTCTGAATTAGCCCTGAGAGAAAAAATGCCAACGCACTTATTAGCACAGAACTCACGGTATAAATACTTTATTCAGGGTTCCCGCGGGGTCTTAAAAAGTCTTACATTTGATAATCTGAATTTAAGGCCTTAAAAAGGTCTTAAATATGACCAAAAAAATAAGAAAGGTCTTAAATATGATTTTAGAAGGTCTTAAAAATGATCGGATTTGAAAGGTACTTCTGTGTTGCGATAGCGTCTAAATGTGTTTTGGGGGAAATGTCCGGGCTGCAAAGTAACCAGTACGGTAATAGCCTTTCAGTTCCCCCCCAAAACATTTGTATTGAATTAAATCAACATGGAACCAACTTTGTTTCCCCCGGCCCCTTATTGGAGAACACCCAGCTAGTAACCTAGCAACCAAGCTTCAGCTAGCGGCAGTCAGAAACTCATGTCTCTTCGAATCTACTTACAAATAAATATGGGGAAGTGTAAATTCAACCGTATTTGGTTGGAAAACATCTAATTTAGTGCTTCGTTGAAACCATTGGAAGGAACGTGTTTGAAGCCCGCTGCACCTTTTTGCAAAAGAAATTAGCGTTTTTTTGTGCTAATGCAGCGTAAGCTAATGTAGCGTGAGGTAGTGCAGCATTAGCTAGTGCAGCAGCTCCCGCAACAAGACCGGGGGACCTCCGGTCGACGTTTGGGTCTACGTCAACCCTAAAAGCGGAGGTGCTTGTTAAATATGTTCTTTATTCTCGCGTCCAGGAGAGAAGCTTTAAAATGAGACTAAATGGAGTCTCTGAAAAGATTCAAATGGGATACTTTAATTTTTTTTAAAAGGCGCGGTAGTGTTACAGACAGAATATTGTTCCGGCAGAAAACAGGTGTGATCTGGCTCTCCTGAGCAAGACGAGAAGCCCGATCCCCCGTTCGGTGCCGTTATATATCCTCTGCTGGCTCCTCCCCGCCAGCCGGCTCGCCTCGCCTCTAATGTCCGTTGTTGCATTTAAACAGAGGATTGGTACTTTTCACCTTCAACATATGCTTAACACGCCTTTTCTCCTCATATTCTCTTTCATCACTTTTCATGTAACACATTCTAAACGCTGTAATCAATACTCTAAAACATACAGAAAATACTTCACGGCTGGTTTGGTTTCCGGATGTTGTCACATGCTACTCTCGTCTGTAAACAATAATGTATTCAAATAAACTGTACTTTCATTTAATATTCAGCATGGTAGTATCTCGACATCTATAGTTGTAGTGTTAAATCAGTAGGTTTCGGTTTGCACCACTCCATGTCATTTCGCTACTCAATTCACCTCTTTAGGAAATCGTATATTAGCCACATGCTAAATGCTAACCGTAGATGAAGGATTTTCAGAATAAAAGCTTAACTGCTTGTGCACAAGAATTTCTGGTTTTTCAGTATAAAAGAGCGTTTAAACTGACGGTATGTTTAAGCTACATTATACCGTCAAAACATTGATTTTAATTTCTAACATCGCTCAAGGAATGAGGGAGACCCTGCAAGGAATTTAACTACTCAACATAAGCTCACAACAAATGTCAACACA